TCTGGTTTAGAGTTAATTGTCTTTTAAAGGTAGATAGTGGTCACTATAGCATTTTGTCAATTGGTCAATCAATTATAAGGAAAATGAAGTTTTTAAATAGAGAGGATTAGTGTAAAATTTAATTGTATGAAATAAGAGATTAAGTGGCCTCAACCATAGTTTGGTAGATTTTCTTAGCAAATCAGTTTGAATGTTAAGATGACCATAGATTCTGTTTCTTTTAATCCACTGGAATTAATTTGCAGTAATTAACTGGACTGAATGTCTACTTTCGACATCGGTGGTCCAGAATGTGCTGACAGCTAGTAGCACAAAAAGTCTCCTAAAAACTGAAAGTGTGATCCATTAGTTATTTTTAAAGTGTATGGATGAATTTAAAAACGACAGATTTGTTCATGATGGTTGCAAAATACAGAGTTTTGTATTTTTTTCATGACATACTGAACCTGGATCTATTGCCTAATTAACTCCCTGTCATTTTTATTGAATTGAAGTATAAAATAGAGATATTCCAAATTAAATTTACTGGTCAGTGTTTTCTGAGTAGATACTGTAAGTATTTAAAAGGAGAGGTAGGAAGATTTTTGAAATGTCAAGAACTTTACACAAAAGAGCGTAAGGTCTCAGCAAATCAGCCAAGATTTTGTTGAATAGAATAGTGGGCAGGTTTGAGGGGCTGAGTGGCCAACTGCTACTGTTTCTTATGTTCTGAAGATAATTTGGGATAGCTGGTGATGCAATATTAGTCATTCCAAGTTTGAATAATTTAGTTCCTAATTATTTTCTGCAAGTGCCAAGATGCCACTTAAATTTTAATTTTTTGTGTCTGGTGATACGCAATTTCATTTTAAAATATGCTGATTAGTATTAGCTCCTCTAAAATCATTTGGTTTAATTTTCTTGTGTGTTTTTGGGTAATAGAAACTTAATGGATAATTTGTATAGCTTGTTATAAAAACAAAATTGTGCTTTTTCTCAGTCAACTGTAAACTCAACACTTGATTGAGTGGATATGCCATCTTAGAAACAGATATGAGAGGGAGAATTGCTCAGTTCTGTGGGTGAATACTGATTGCTGGGTGTCCTTCTCATTTGATAGGCAATTTGACTTGTTGTGATCCAGAAAAGCATCGTTCTTGAACTATTGTCACACATGTACTTGATAAAGTCCACTTTATTGGAGAATGTTGCTTTTGGATCAGATAATCCAAGAAGCATGGTTAACCTCAAGTTAAATAACCTGTGAGCATCAGTATACATTTTGAAGGTACATTTTACTGCTTTGAATGATGCATTTTAAGCATGGGAAGTTTCCTGTTTGTGATCTAAATTATGGCCTCTGATGTTCTCTCTTTCTTTACATTGAATTGAGAGCTGTAGATAAGGAACAGTGCATTATTGCTAACAAAATACATTCCTGAATTCTTCATTGGTATATAAAATACTTTGGTGACAACTAAGTGAACAATTTTAAATGTTGGCAAGTTTGTTTGGAAGCTATGATCCTGAAAAGATCTAAATCTTAAAGTACCCTTTTGGGTATGTTGCTACACAGCTTACCCAAGAAAAAGTTTTCAACCTGTTCATTTAAACTGTGCCAATGCATAATGCCTCTTGTCATATCCCTTCTCAGTTTGAATGCACTCGAACCACATAGCTCCCAAAGGATGTAAACAAACATGCACAGACCAGATCAAAGGTGATCTGACTACATAGATCTATACAAAGCTGCCCTGTTGTGAGAATGATCTGCCCACTGATCATACCATATCATGGCCTCTTGTTAGCCCATTACACATCACAGGTTGCAATAGAGCACTGCAGTTTTTAGGTGACAGTTCTTGTCTTCAGCAACCTTTAAATTTTGCAGATTTACTCATTTTTCTGATTTTGTTCATAAATTAGATTGCCTGTTGATAAGAGTGGAATGTAGTTGGAAAATCCCAATTTAGGTCTCAGTGGTGATTTAATTGATCTCTGCTAGAGCAGCAGTAGGGGCTGTTAAATTAAGCTTGTGAATTTGGAAGAGGGGGGGTTGTTTCGAGTCCTCAAACCCAAAGTTATGAAGTGGACTCTTTTTCAATTTCTTTTGTTTTGTTATATTGCAGTGGAAGCACTGTTATTTTGAACTTTTTATTTCTTTATTTTTCTAATTTATTACTATGATTTTGTATTTTAAAATTTTTGTAATACTGGATTTTTTAATGTACCTCAGATGGTGCCGTAAGTGGCAACTTGTAAACTTGTCACTGTACACGTGAGTGCATGTGACAGTAAAGCTAATTCAATTCAATATTGCACCAAGGAATCAAGGAAAAGTGGGGAAAATTGTTAATAAGACAAACTTAGTCCTGCATCAGGCAAAGCAAAGCAAATATATTTGTCATTCCTTTTTTCTAGCCAGTGTGTACTGTGCCGGAGTGCACATATAGATGTCGGGAGAGACCAAATTTTGATGCTGTTTGATCCCTGGTCACTGAGTATGAGTGGACATTTGGGAAAGGTGTCCATGGAATTATACATTGAAGAGGGTGAAAATCAATGATTGATAAACAAACCTATAGCAAATCCAACACACGTTATTCATAAAATGTGCGTAGATGAAACAATTTTGTTTAGTTAGCATTTACTTCAATATCGTTTGATCAAATCGCAACTAATGGGAAAAGGGTGAAAATTGGGGTGGGGCGGCGGGGGCGGAGAAAAGGTGTAGGGACAAAGTAGGAGTGCAGGTTAGTGATGAAGCTAATTGTTATCAGAAAATGAAAGGTACAGTCAGTGAACGAATGTCATATTAATAATTTTCCCTACATTTGTATAAGATTTGTATCTGAATGCACATAGCACTCGGAATAAAGTTAGAGTTAGCAGCACAAATAGAGACAATGGGATATGATTTGGTGCATATCTTTGAGACATGGTTAACCAGGCCTGGGAGATGAATGTCCAAGAGTATTTGGATACCAGTGTTTTAGAAGAGTGGACAAAAAGGAAAGCGATGAAAGGAAGAGTGCTGTCGTGGGAAATGAATTTATATCTGGAAATCAAGACATATAACTCGTCTGGGTAGAAATATGAACCAGCAAGGGAAACAAGTCCTGGTGGGAGTAATCTTTACGTTACTTAACAGTAGTTCCACAGTAGGACAGTGTATAAATCAGGCAATAGTGGGGGCTTGTAAGAAAGGTGCAACAATAATTGAGTGATTTTTTAAAATATCTATATAGGCAGGCTTAGTCAAATTGGCAAGGGTAGCATTAAGGGAGCATTCATAGTGTATTAGAGATTATTTCCTGGTGCAGTATGTTGGGGAAGCAATCAGGAAGCAGGCTAATTTGGATTTAGCATTATGCAGTAGGATGGGATTAATTAATAACCTAGTAAACGGTGCTTTGGAAAAGAATGATCATAGCATGCTGGCATTTCAAAATCCGTTTGAAAACGTGAAACTGGAGTTTGATATTAAAGATAATTTCACAGACATGAGGATATATTTGGCCCTAGTGAACTGAATCAAAAGGTGGAACAGTTGAACAGTGGTGGATAAGGAGATATTTTAGTTGGGAGGAATTGAATATGCACCAACAAAGAGGGAAGATTGTTAGGAGGGATGGCTTGGGGGAATCATCCATGGCTAAGCAAAGTAGTCAAAAGATAACAAAGGCAAAATCTAAGATGTACCATATTGCAAAAGTGACTGAGGCTGGAAGATTGGAAAATGTTAAAGACCAACAAAAATTTACGAAACAAGGTAATAGAAAAAATTAAGTTGATTATGATAGAAAACTAGTGCAAAACATTAAAACGGATAGCAAAAGCTTTTGTAAGTATATAAAAAGGGAATAGCTGAGGTGAATGTGGGTCTCTTAGAGGACGAGACTGGGGAATTATTAGTGGGGAACGCAGAACTGGCAGAGACAGTAAATCAGTATTTTGCCTCCATTTTCACGGTGGAGGACACTGAAACAATCCCAACGTAACTGATTATATGGAGGTTACAAACAGGAATTTTAAAAAATTGCTGTCACTAAGGACGAGGTATTAGCAAACTATTGGGATTAAAGGCAAACAAATCCCGAGGGCCTGACCATCTGTGTTCTAGGGTCGTAAAGGAAGTGGCAGCATATAATTCATCTTTTGGTTGTAATATTTCAAAATTCCCTTGATCCTTGAAAGTTTGGAAAATACTAATGTAATGCACTTGTTCAACAAGTAGGAAACCATAGACCGGTTAGTTTAACATCTGTCGTTGGGACCTGTTATTAAGGAAATAGTACCAGCACAATTGGAAAGTCAAAACACTTTGGGGGTGGGGGTGGTCCTGTGGTTTTAGTATATCTGGACTTCCAAAAGACAGTTGATGAGGAAGAGGTTAATGCTCAAGGTAAAATCATGCTGGGTTAAGGGTAATATTAGTTTGGATAGAGGATTGGCTAACCAACAGAAGTCTGAGATAAGAAGGTGTAGAGCTGGATGAACACAGCAGGCCAAGCAGCATCAGAGGAGCAGGAAAGCTGACGTTTCGGGTCTGGACCCTTCTTCAGAAAAAACAGAAATCTGAGTTATGAGCGAAGAATTTTTCTTTGATTGACAAGCTATAATTAGTGGAGTGCTGCAGGGTTCAGTACAGAGGACCTCAACAGGTCTACAATCTATGTTGATGACTTGGATGCGAAGATAGAATGTACTTTGGCCAGACTTGCAGATGGTACGAAAGTAAGTATCTTAGTTGCAATGACGAAATATAGGTAAGATATTTACAAATCGATTCTGGATTGGTTAGGTGAATGGGCCAAAATTTGGCTAATCGAGATTATCCATTTTTGTTGGAAAAATAATAGGGCAACTTTTACCTAAAAAGAGAGAAATGTCAAAATGCTTTGGTGCAGAGGGATCTGAATGGCCTTGTGCATGAATTGCAGAATGTTGGCTTGCAGATACAGCAGGTAATAATGAGAGCAAATTGAATTTTGGCATTTATTGCTAAAGGAATAGAGTATAAAAGTGGGCAGTATTATTGCAGCTGTACAAGTTATTGGTGAGACTGCATCTGGAGTACTGTGTACAGTTTTGGCCACCTTACTTGAGGAAGGGCATAATTGGATTGGAGGCAGTTCAGAGACGGTTCACTCGATTTGATTCCAGAGATGCAGTGTTTGACTTACAAATTAAGATTGATGCCAGTACTTACCGTAGTTTAGAAGAATGAGAGAAAATCTAATTGACGTATATAAGATATAAAGGAGGTTGACTAAGTTGACCTAGAATAGATGTTCCC